AAGGGGGGCCCTGCCATGGGCACGGGATCGGCGCAGGGGGCCCGAGGCACAGCGGCGGCAGGACACGGGGGGTGAGGAGGAGCCCAGAGTTGCCCCTGATCCAGCTTCCTGAGCCTCAGATGTGCACGAGAGGCTGGGGTTCCCCGCCACGCCAGAGGCTCACAGAGGAACGTCAGCTTCCTGTAGCTTCCTGCGCCCCCGCTAGGCGAGACGCCAAGGGTTAACAGGGGCTGCGCCCCCAGGCCGAGCTGCATGGTGCCATTGGGGCAAGGGACAGCAGAAGAGGGTCCGTGCAGAGCCAGACCGGCAATCCAAAGAGGGGACGAGTGGAGGCACTCAGAGTGGAGGCTGTCAGAGTGGCAGGCAGGGACAGGGGTAGGGGCAAGACGAGGGAGTCCCGGTGTCTGCAGGTCTCAAGCTTGCACGCCTCCGATTCCACTATCTTGTGAGTCAAGTTTGTAGGTCTCCACGTCCTGGCGTTTGCTCCTGGCTCAGTATCTGTGGTTCTGCACGTCCCTGCTTTCCTAACCTCTCTGCCTGCGAATGTTTCTGCCTGGGTCTGAATGCCTCAGACTTTCCCAGCTTCTCCCGGGAAGCCTGCAGTTCCTGTCCTCCCGAGTAAGTGAGGAGTGAGAGCCAGTTTGTGGGAGCGGAAAGGCCCTGGGAGATCACCAAGTCCAACCTCCTTGTACAGATCGGGGAACCGTGGCCAGAGAGGGGCCGGGAATCTCCAGGGCGGGGCCGCACACAGCTGGCACCCCGCGGCTGGGATTCCCAGCTTGTGCAGAAGTTGTAAGAGAGAGTGAGGGATCTAGTCACTGCATGTGTGTGTGTGTGTGGGAGAACGCGCTCCAGAGGGGCCCTGTGGACTACAGCTTAGGCACAGGGCTTGTCCTTCCATCCTAAGGGACTCTAGGGCTCCAGGGGAGAGCCTGGCTGGGGTTGTAGCACCACCCACCGCTCAAGAAACACCCCTCTGAGCTGGAGCCAGGGTGATGAGGCCCCCCTTCTTTTCCATGTCTTGGAAAAAGCTGGCTATTTGAGATTCCACCACCACCACCACACACATTCGTATATACAGGGCACCAGTGAGCACACTGGTGACTCATTTTCTCCGGGAGACCCTGTGCCAGGGCAGATGCCAGTGGTTGGGCAGTGTGGTGGTGCCATGGAGCACCCCGCAATGAGGCCGAAGCCTAAGGCAGGCAAACAGTCCTAGCGCCTCCCTGACTTCCTGTCCATACATCCTCATGCTCCTACCCTCCTTGGCTTCAACAGGTCTTCCAGCTTTGCACCCCAGTGTCTCCTTCTTGCCCTTCCTTGCTTCTGCATTGAGAAGTCCTTCCTAATGGTCATCCATACACCCTACTGCTCTTCGGTAGACACCAGCCTCTGGGAATTTCATTGACGGCTCCTATCCCCAATGCCTTCTTGTCTCTACTTGCATCCCAACACACTCCCATGATACCTTTTTGGCAGTTTCTTCTGCTGATCTCAGTGCCCAGGGACCTTCTAGATGTCCCCATGGCCTGGCCTGGTCTGGTATACAGAGGATCCAGTTCACTGGCAGTTGTGAATGGCAAGGAAACAGTCCTGGGCTCACTTCAGTGGAAAGCAGGCTTTGGGGCAGAGCATAGGAACCTAGCAACAGGCAGTTTGAGTTCAAGTGCTGTGTGCGTAGCCAAAGTCCCCCATCTCTATGCTTCTCATTTTCACATCCACAAGGAGAGCATCAGCCCTTCCAGATGGCAAGATTTTGTGAGTTAAGGAAGCATGCTTGGAAAGGGCTCTGAACATAGCCTAGCATATATTAAGTGTTGAGTAAATCACAGATGTTATTTGTATCTGTACTCATTGCTTTGTGAATGGGTGTGTGAGTCAATGTGAAAGTTCTGGGCTGTATCCTGTCCAGACAGATGACCTGTGTGTGTTTGTGTGTGTGTGTGTGTGTGTTCCCATGGAGGAGGTGGAAGGTGTGGAGAAGGACTTTGGGTGTGGCTGTCTTGGGTACATAGGGTCTGCTGAGGCCACAGAGGCAGGTGGGACAGGGACAGACTCATGTCGTTCCCAGCCATCCCTGGCACCACTCAGCCCATGGTAGCACAGCTGGATACAGCATCCACTAGGCTACCTGTCTCCGGGGTTCCTATGCCCTCTGGGCTTGAGGGTCTTGGAGATCTCTGAATGTTGAAGCTGGGATGGATTTCTGAATCTTCAGTGTTTCCAGGAAACAGGTATGAAAGGAAAACCATCAGAAGGCAGCTTCTGGCCAAGTCTTTGAACAGGAATAGCCAGCCATATGTGGTGAGCTAGTGGCTGGCCTCTTGCAGGGGACAAGAAACCCGGGCTACTCCCTGGAGGGTTGCATGTTCAGGCTGTGTCTCCGAAGTTCTGTCCTTTGCGGCTGGCGTCTGGGATGCCTGCTGCCCTCTCTGGGAATGGTCCTCATGAATTGATCATCCTTGTACCACAGAGCCCCTCCATGTCCGAACCAAGGTCTATGAAGCTGTAATGAAAACAGAAGTCAGAGAGAACAAAGCCATGAGCCAGTGCAGCCACCAGCGTTATTAACAGTAGCCTAAACAGCACTGGAACAGTAGTCACACTGCCGAGCCTCCTCCCTTCCGCAGCCAACTTTCCAGGCTGGAGCTTACTCACATAGATGGCTCCGGGGCTCCCGGCTGCATCTCTATTCCTGCTGAGAAAGCTGGAACTCTGGTCCCCAGTAAGTAGCAGTAAGTAGTCTCTAAAAGATTCCACTTTCTCCTCTAGGGAAAACAAATAAAACATAGTGGGAGAGATGACTGGCTGTGTGGCTTTGGGCAAGTCCCCTCTCTCTGGGCTCTTGTTGCCCATCTCTTCAAAAGATGGTTAGGGATAGAATCTGGTCTCTAGGGATCTTCAAGACCCTTCTCTCACTGAGGTGTGATGAAGACTGGGAAGTTTAAGCCTCCAACATGCACAAAAGTCCAATCCCAGAAGGCCAGCTGTGTTTGTGACAGTCTTCTGCCACTTGGCCTTAGGCAGCTGAATAGCACAAGAAGCCTCGATGCCATCTCCTGTGTCATCCTTCTGACTGTTGAGAACTTATTGTAGTGTTCTCTCATCTACCCTCTAGGGTGCCCTAGAGCCAGAAATGATCTAGGAGGACACACATGGCTCTTGTGCCTTCTCTCATTCACCTGTGTGTCCTTCTGTCATCTGGAAAACATCCAAGACAGGTGCACGGGATACAACATTGACAGACTCAAGGAGTAGGGACTCGGTTTCTTGTCTGCAGGACTTCTGGGAGCTTTGGGGGTACAGGCACGCTGGGGAAGCCATCTAAGCTTAGGGTTGGGTTGGCCCTTCCCCATGCTGCCTGGCCACTGTCTTCCTAGAATGTTTCCCTGAATGGTGATATATTATGGGATATGCACAAGGTGCCTTGGAAGGGAAGCACCCACCCCAGCTGGGGTGCAGGCTTCTCTGTCAAATAAAACTAAGTAGCCTGTTCCCAGTTCTCAGGGCCACTGAGGCTGCCTGTGGCTTTTGAAAGCCAGCCATGCCAGGAGGATTCCCTATCTTTTACAGAAGGCAAACCCAGTCTGGCTGGGCACGGTGGCTGCTAGTAGTCACCCCCAGTGATTGAGACACAAAATGTTTGATCCCAGGACAGAGGAGAGATCCTAGCAATGACAGCAGACTGGAAAGGGCAAGGGGGACTGGGGAGGGAAGCTTTGGGAAGTTACTTTCAAGTCCAGAGTCCTGCTATACCATGTGGTCCTCATTCACCATGCAGACATATGTAGTACCTTTACTGTCACCCATGCATAGGTCTACTGGAGAAAGTGTCAAGAGCCTATGTCTGCATCCCAGGGCCCTTTCAACCAGTCGGTCTTAGGCTGCAAGTAACTGAAGACTTAATCCAACCTGATTTTAACAAGGGGTCAGTGGTCATTCCCCTTTGAAGAACCTCAAGGAAAATCGGTGTAGGGGTGGTGACATTAACACCATGATTGTTCCCTTTCTGCCATCTGCTTGTGTTCATGGAACTTCTTGCCTCTCATACACCTGAAGCATCTCTGAACAGCATGTCTTCATTCAAAAGCCAGCAGAAAAATCTTCCTATTCTGCCCACATATTTTCCCAGGGTGGCTGACAGGCATCAACCTACATCTCATTGGCTGTATTTGAGTCACATATGCATTTCTAAACCAGTCACTGGCATGATCAGTATTCATCCAGTGTCCTCTGAACTGTGTGGGTGGATAAGCTTGGGTGGTATGTTGCACAGTGCCGAAGTTGTGCTTGCAATTGGTTAAAGATCCTACTAGATTTGAAAGTAGGGATATTTGGCAGGGAATGAACCAAGAGTTGCAGACAGCAACCTTGGGTTTCCTATATTGCCCTGTTCCCCAGGAACACACCAGCCTGATTTTACTCTTGGAAGAGAAACCTGGCCAGTCTGCCCCAGCCAGAGCCCTTACCACTCATCAGTCACCTAGCTCAGCTACCAGCTGCCATCTCAGCCATCTCTGGCCACGTGCCCCAGCCTCCCCTCTGCCCTCCTGGGTATCAGATGCCTTGAGTGGCTTGGGTGTCCTAGTGGCTGCTCCCACAGGAAGGTGAAATATGATCCTTGGCTCTGCCTATCATGGCAGTAGCCACTGAGTACAGCTTTAACCATTCCTGGATGCAGAAGTGGGCTTCCCTGGCTGGGCCAGGTCAGCTCTTTGATGCATGAGCCGATTTTAATCCCCACATCTGGCCTGCAAAAGAGGGTGTGTCAGTCCACACTGCAGACTAGAGGAGCTCAGAAAGGCTGAGTGACTCATCTGGAGTCACACAGCCTGGAAGTCACAGTCACAGGTTTGTTCCTAGGGGCATCTGGCTCGCCTCTGTCCTCTCCCCCAATCCCCATTTCCCTCTATCAGCACAAGTGGGGTTAGCTGCTGTCTTGAGAAGGGATCTTCTCCTCCCCTGGCACCTTGAGGACACTGGTCTTCCCAGCAGTTCAGCCTGTTTTCCATCTGCCTTTCACCCGGTGGCTCTGCTATCCATAGCCTGGGGCTTGGGAAGCTTGTCTTGAACTTGCAAGGCTGAATGCAGATAAAGAGACTTAAGGGCTGGACTTTAGACCTCCCAACATCTAGCTGTGAAGAGAAAAGTTGTGTTGGTAGCTTGCTGGAGTGCTGGGTTGGGGCCTAAGAACATCCTGGGGGTAAAAGCCAGTCTGATTGGTCCATGAAGGCTGTGCCTTGCCTCTGGCTTCCAGTATGAGACCAGGATGGAAGAGAACTGGGCTAGGCCATCCTTCCCGGATCTGGGTGTGAGGGTGGAAGCTGATGCCCTGTGCATTTGTGTCTGCCTGTCTCTAGGGGGTTTCTCTTCGCCTGGATCTTGGTCTCATTTGCCTGTCATCTGGCCTCCACCCAAGGAGCTCCTGAAGGTAATTCTCTCTTTTCTTTGTCCAGTGGGAGACAAAGAAGGGCGGAAGAGAACTCGAGAACTAGGGTAGCAGATATCCACACCGCTAGCTGGAATGTAGAGGCTCAGTTTTCCCATCCAGAGAATGGAGCCACCCATGGGCCCAATTCCCTGGGGTCTGTGAGGGGTTGGAAGAGTTGCTTATAGGACTATCCTGTTTCCATGAGTCCTATCTGAGTGCCTCTTTTGCTTCAGTCTGCTGGGTATCTTAAGGCAACATGGAGGCTGTAGTGTCTTTGCCCACTCCTGGCATCCCTACACCCTTGGCTTTTCTTGTCCCTGGAGAGCTGTCCAGGCATCTATGGGCTAGCCACTCCACTGCCCATGGAAACTCAGACCTTTCCTATATCTGTGCCAAGTGGACATAATGCCTCTTAAATTAACTCTCCTTCCCACCTCCATGCCTGCCACATTCTGGGGCAGGCAGCAGGCACCATGAGAGTCCCCATAGCCTGACCTGGCCTCTGGGTAGGAATTGTACCCCTGGGAGGTAAAAGGGCCATGCCTGGAAGGGACTTTGCTGCCCAGCAACATTTGTTCATGTGTCATATTTTCCGAGCTTGTGGAACAGCTGTCCAGAGTCCTGAGTCAGGCAGGGGGTGGGAGCGACCGGAGTTGTACTGAGCCAGGTTTATGTAATAAAGGCATCTTGCTGGAGCCAGCTGGCCTGCCTGTGTGCCCTGGCGCAGGCCCTCAGTTCGTTCCTTGTCCCCTATCTCTTCCTCCCGGTGGGATTCAGGATGGGGCTCTGCTTTGCCTCCTGACCCATCTGAGTAGCTTTAGAGCAGTGTGGGGTGGTGGCTGAGAACAGAGACTCTGAACTTGGGTCCCTAGGTTCCAGCTCTAGCTGTGAGCTGCACAGCATCCTGGGTAAGTTACCATATTGTAAGCCTCATCTGCTGGCACACATCTGCCATGCCATCCTGGCACTTGAGGAAGAGACAGGAAGTTTCCAAGTTCCAGGCTTGTCTGAGCCACATAGTGAGACCTTGTCTCAAAAAAACAAGAAGTTAGCCAGGCGGTGGTAGTGTACACCTTTAATCCCAGCACTCAGGAGGCAGAGGCGGGTAGATCTCTGTGAATTCGAGTCCAGCCTGGTTTACAGAGCAAATTCCTGGACAGGCTCAAAAGATACACAGAGAAACCCTATCTTGAAAAACAGAGGTGGGGAGGGAGGGAGGGAAGAGGAGAGAGGTATTTTTAGATGCAATTCATGTATGTAGTGCACTAGTCAAATTCCCTCCTCCAATATGGTTTGAGACATGGATGTATGCACATGGTAAGCATATTCAATTTTGTTCTTGTCAGCCCTGATTTTGCACATCTGAAAGGTCTAGGAAGCACCCCCTGCTACAGTACAGTAGTCAGAAACTTCAGGACTCACAGTTTGTGCTTTAGCAGCTTCAGAGTCCCCGCAGAAGCTGGCTGTTCATCAGGTTCGAAAGCCATCTGAGGATGAAAAGGGAGCAGGCCAATATGATGCCTATCCTGGCCAGCTGTGTCTCTTCTAGGCTTGGCCACCTGGCTAGAGGTCTGGCATATAGAGAAAGATGTAGGGGTGTGCCAAGAGCAGGCCTGAGGGATACACTAACACTGTAGGGTGTGCAGGTGGCTTACTTCCCCAGCTAAGTGGCTCCTCCCTCTTGAAGTTGCTTATAGTGAATAGTATTTCATGATAAGGCTATCTCAGTGACTAAAACAAGTAAGATCTGCTTAAAAAAAAAGTTATAAGTAGTCTTTCAGCTTAGAGCTGGGGACTGGCTTGTGTGAGAAAGGATAGGAAGGAGAGACTATGGGTGACATAGAAGACCCTTGGATTCTCTACAGGAAAGAGCTTTCATCTAGGCCATTGTTATGCTATGGATATAGCACCCTGGGGTGCAGAGTCCATAGAACACTTAGAGCCTGTTGCGCTGTCTGAACGGCTGAGGATCAGGAAGAGACTCCGGCAGGGCCTGAGTCAGGATGAGTGTCTAGGTGCTCCTCATTGTCCTGTCCTTTTGTCCATCTAACTCTGTATATCTGTTTTCCTATGTATCTGTTTTTCTCTCCACCCATTCATCTACCCACCCATCTCTGTGCATCTGTCTTTCCACCCATTTTTCTATCCATCCACCCATCCATCTGTCTGTTCATGGTTGTCAGCTGAGGACCAGTTAGATGTCATGTATTGAATTCAGGTTCCAGCGTAGCCTGGGATCTGTGCTCTGGGGCAATGAGAACATTCAGCTCTTCATATTAGAGTCTCAAGGCTTCAGCCCAGACGGAAGTTTTAGAGATATCTGGAAGTTCTAGAGGCACTAGATGGCTCCCCGCAGAGGTTGAGGTCTGCAGTCAGTTTTGTAGATGCTGACAGTTCTGATAGTCGAAGATGGTCAAAAGTGGGTCAGGATGCCTTTCTTTCCATGAAGACTGGGCCACATGGTGAGAACTTGTCTTAAAAGCAAAACCCAGAAGATTGTTAGAGCTAATGCATGCATACAGTGTGGATCATTGCATTTCTGCCTTTAAGATGCTTGAGAGAAGCAGGTTCATGTGCATGGAGAGCAGATTTGCATTTGTTCTTGCCAAAACCATCCCTTTGCTCTGGGAAGCCATGACAACGTAATTACTAAGGATGGGAACTGGCTAGACCACGGTCAGATGTCTGTATGCTTGGCTGGAGAATGGAGATTGCACGGGTACGTGGGTTACTTCCTCTGTGCCCTTCAAAGCTTCTTGGGAAGAAGGCTCAGTGTAGTTATAGCTCTCTCTGAGAGCAGAGGCTAGCTTCTGAGCCTGCTCCAGCCAGAGACCTTGGGTGGGAAGGTGTGCCTCTGATGAGGTGGTGAAACTAGACAGGCTCCCTGGACTTCCTGACTGAGTTCCAGTGAGATATTGCTAAGGAGATTGGTTCCTGGAAGGAGAGGAAAAGGTCATCTCTGGCTCTTGGGTGTTTGGTGGACATCATTGTTTTTGGTGACAGCAATTGTCATTTGAAAGTACTTATTGTTAGTCCTTTTACCATGGAGGCATTTGCCCATTTAGTCATCTCAACATCCTTTTGCAATGGGTCCTATGGTATGACTCCATCTGACAGATAGGAAGACTGAGGCTCTAGGTCCACAGGGTTAAGAAGTAGTAGAGCTGGGTGTGGATCCAGGATGGACCCAGGAGGGTAGGCAGGAGCATGCAGCCCAACCCTGAGATGCAAGGTTGCAGTGTGGCACAGATGGTTGCCGTGTGACACCTCAGCCTGAGGTAGGGCTCTGTGCAGGGAAATGAGTAGATTCCCAGGTGGCTGCATGTGGCCAGAGCTGGAGCAGGCTCTCACCATCTTATCTTATCTCTCCCAGATGTGGATGTCCTCCAGCGGCTGGGCCTCAGCTGGACGAAGGCCGGGGGTGGCCGGAGCCCTGCACCCCCCGGTGTTATTCCTTTCCCATCTGGCTTCATCTTCACACAGCGGGCCAGGTTGCAGGCCCCCACGGCCACAATCCTTCCCACCGCCCTGGGCCAGGAGCTGGCGCTGGTGTTAAGCCTCTGTTCGCACCGTGTGAACCATGCCTTCCTCTTCGCCATCCGCAGCAGGAAGCACAGGCTGCAGCTGGGCCTGCAGTTCCTCCCCGGCAGGACACTTGTTCACTTGGGGCCTCGACAATCTGTGGCCTTTGACCTGGATGTGCATGATGGCCATTGGCATCACCTGGCCCTAGAGCTGCGTGGCCGCACGGTCACATTGGTGACAGCTTGTGGGCAGCACAGGGTACCTATCCCACTGCCTTCCCGTAGGGACTCCATGCTTGATCCTCAGGGCTCCTTTCTCTTGGGGAAGATGAACCCTCGTGCTGTCCAGTTCGAAGGTGCACTCTGTCAGTTCAGCATCCATCCCGTAGCGCAGGTCGCTCATAATTACTGTGCCTACCTGAGAGAGCGGTGCCGACAGGTGGACACATATGGTCCCCAGGTGGGAGCCCTCTTTCCCTGGAACTCTGGTCCAGCCTTTGCCCTGCACCCTGAACCAGCCTTCCTTGGCCTGGGGAACCTGACCAGAGCCCCAGCAACCCTGAGTGCCAGGCCTGTAGTCAGGGCACCCATGGTGACTATGGCTCCTGCCATGCCCACCAAGCCTCTGAGGATTGTCCCCCCAGATGTCCCCCAACACAGCTCTGCCCAGACCCCACCAGGACCTGCCAAACAGTCAGTCAGAAAAACATCTTCTCCTTCTCCTTCAGCTTCTTTGGCTAGTTCCACCAGGATTTTTCATCCAGCTGCTGCCCAGCCACTACAGATCACAGTTACTAGCCCCACCAAACGTCCCCCCACTAAAACTCCCCCATCTTCCCTTTCAGTTACCCCTGTGAAAGGTCCCCATCCAACCCAGAAAACAGCCGCCCCTTTACCCACAAAGCCTGTTGTTCTGCCTGCCCAGAAGCCGGTGACACGCACTCCCCACCTTGCACCTTCCAAAGCCTCTAGTCCCACAGGCAGGCCTGTCCAGAAGACCTTTGTGACACCCCGACCTCTAGCACCCAGTCCCCAGCCCCTGCGCCCCACTGTTGGCTTATTGAAGAAGTCTGCTATTCCCACAGTAGCAGAGTCTAAGTCCAAGATAACCAGTTGGGCCAGCAAGCAGGTCCGCACCAGTGCCCCTAAAAGTCTTCAGCAAACTATTGTGTCCCAGTCCCCTGTTCCCTACCTAGGCTCTACAAGAGCCTCTCTGACACTGGCTACAGCCCTCCCTCCACTGGGCTTTGGAAATCCTAGAATGGCTCCTCCCACTCATGACTCCTCTTCAACTCCTGCTGGGAGCAAGAAATTCAAAGGACTGGAAGCCTCCAAGAAAACCAGACCTAAGAACAGCCCCCGGAAGCCCATACCTCTCAGGCCTGAGAAGACAGCCAGGGATGCCCTATCAAGAGACCTGACAACCAAGCCCAGCCAGCTGTCCACCCCCCTGGTCCTTGCTCCAGCTCACCTCCTGTCCTCCAGCCCCCGGCCCACGAGCAGCAGCTTCCCTTTCTTCCACCTGCCAGGCCCCACACCTTTCCCAATGCTGATGGGACCTCCAGGATCCAAGGGAGACTGTGGCTTGCCGGTAAGCCTGGGTAGGGTCTGCATGCTACTTGGTGTGTAAGCGGGTGGCTATGGGATAGTTTGGTTCAAGAAGACACACCCTGGTAAGGATGAGGGAGAAAGAAGCTACCTGGGACAGGGAGCCAATTTGGTCCCCAACTCCTTGGCCTTACTGTCTTAGTGGTCACATGTCCTAGGGCAGAGTTGTGATCCATTGGAGGAGATTTGGTAGGAGTTCCTGAGTTTAGCTAGCTCAGGTCCCAAGTAATTCACTGCTAACCCAGTGCAAGGATCTGGGACTTCAGGAACATCATAGCTGATGGACCTAAGTCACCACAATGAGCTGACAAGCATCTCCCCATGTGGCCCTGCTGGCCTGTGTGTCTGTCTAGGAGCTGTAGACAGAAGTCACAGATGAGTAGCTTGGGATGTATTTTGCTTGGCACGTGCAGCATTCTTTTTATGCAATCTAGCAGTTACTGACATTGAAAAAGTGGGATGGTTTATAGGAAAGTCTAGTTCACTCAGTTCTCTTGGAGGATGGGAGGTGTGGTGACTCCCAGGTAGACTCTTCTCACTATGATCTCTCTTCTCCTTGGAGCTTCCTACCTGATCATCCCCTTGGCATTGACTCATGTCACCTATCTGACTGGTACTTATGCTTAAATGTCCACCCCTAGTTGAGGAGTTGAAGATGAGGATGGACCTTGTGGGTCACGGAAAAAGGAAGAGACAAAGAAAAAGCATTCCATGTGTAGAGGGTCACCTGGCACTGTGTCTAGGGCCAATGACCTTCCCTGGCTGAAGCCCAGTCAGTCCAGGCAGGGAGTAGTAGGATGGGGGTTCTAGAAGGCTCAGGCCCCTACTCTGGCCTTTGCAATGGCCACAGTGCCATGGTTACCCCCTGCTCAAAGCCAGGTCTCCCACTGGGCTCTGGGTTTGAGGGTCAGGTACCCTGCATTGTGGAGACAGTGGCAGATGCTGGGGCTTCCTGGGTCTTGCAAACACACTTAATGAGTTTTAATAATCATTAGGAATAATATTTACCCAGCCTGTCTCCAAGGGGACAGAGTCTGCTCATTATAACCATATTTTGAAGCTTATGGAAATAGTGTACATTACTCTGCAGTTAGGTCAGCACTCAGCTCAAGTTTCCAGTTGTTCTCAACCGGCAGTCTAGAGTTGGGGATCAAAGGGTCTAGAGGACAAGATGTGGAACCTTTGCACTCAGCCTGCCCCTGGCAGAGGTGCCCTTGGCTCAGACAGCTCGACTGTGCTGAACTGTGCACTCTAGGCCCATGGAACACAGGGTTGAGGAGGTGAGCTGCCCTCTTGACTCTGGCTGTGTGGTGCATCACAACTGAATGAAGGAGGCTAACCACTCTCTCCAGGCCAGGAGAGGACAGGGCCATGTTTGAGTGTGTGGGCTTTTAGCAAGTAGATTGCATTTTGGGACTATGGAATATATTAACTATGTCCCTTTTCCCTGGGGTTTGGGGCTGCGGCTCACATTCTGCCAATCTCATCCTTGAGTTTTCTCATTATCAGGGGAGGCCTTGGAGTCTCCATGCTCAGCTGAGGGATGCTCAGGGATTCTTTAGTTGAACCCCCCTCTTTGGGCAGGTGACGAGTTAGGAGACTGCACAGAGAAGGTCAGCACTTGCCCAAGTTTGCACAGGATATAGGAGGCAGGGTTGAGACTGTATTATGGACTTTAGGGTCTGAGACCAGAACACTCTATCCTCTTCCTACCCAGGGTCTATGCAGAGGCTCTGGGTTCAGGGTTGAAGCAGAGAGGCCTCAGGATGAGTCAGGCCCTGCCCTTGGCCTCAGAGGAAGGTCTACAGAGTCTTGTGCTTTGACACAAGATGACAGGCCAGGTTTCTGGGTGTCTATCTAGTACCCAGTGTATCCCTTTTGGCCCCATGAAACAGAGTGTGTGACCATCCTCTGCCACAGGTGAGCAAACAGGGAGGTGAGGCACAGGGCTTGAACAAGGACACCAGCATCTTCCTGCAGGGTTAGGGATAAGGGGGGCATCAATTTGCATGGTGCCATTCTGTCCCTGACCCTGTCCTGTCCCTGACTCACTCCCCAGCTTGGAATTCTCAAGTAGGAACCAAAAAGCTACTAGAATCTTTGCCCACCATGTGGCAGCTGGTAGGTAATGCTCATTTCTTTTCCCTAGATATGGAAATGGAGGCAGTGGGGACATGGACACACATCTTACCCTCTCATTTCTCCTGACCCACAGGATCTGAGCCCAGCAGAGGGAGGCTATGCTTCCTCGGTCTGGGGATGCATGGATCTGTGTTTAACCCTGCTTCTGCTCCATACTGCCTCTGAACTGGTTCTGTAGCACGGGGTGGTGGCCTCCACCTGTTGTGCAGAGGATGCCCAGGGATCTGTCATGGGAAAGAAGCATGAGGGACTGTCTCCTTGGAGACTTTAGGGGATTCCCTCATTCCTCTCACGGCCTGGAGTCCCTTCTAGGATGGGCATTGGAGAGCAGGGTCTGGAGGGAACCATGATGGGCGTGTGTTGTGGTTCTCAGGTGAGGCTAAGATGTTGTCTATAGAAGTTGGAGCAGAGTTGTCTAAGCTGAGGTAATGGTTCATGGAGTGGCATGGAACCATGTGCCTAGGAGGCTGCTGGTCTCAGCTCATGTTTGCACATCTGTGTCCTTGGGGAGACCAGGCCAAGATATGATCCACAGCGCTCAGTGAAGATCTCTGACACAAATATGAATGAATTTGATCCTTGCAAAGACCAGATTGTCCTGGTTGCCAGGCCAGAAACCTTGGGGGTCAAACGTAACTCTCCTATCAAAGCAGGTACAAGATTGTGTGGCATTAAGAAGAATGCTCACCTTGTAGTCTGAAAAACCTGGGTGTTTTTATTCCTAGTCCAAGTGATGATAAAATTCCTAGATGCTTTGTGCTGTGTGACCTCTGGCAGGTCATCCCACCTCTCTGAGCCTTACTTTCTGTGAACTGGGATGCAGTAAGACTTAATTCTCCAGGGTTGTATAATTTCAGGAGGAACTTTTTGAAGGTCCAAGAAGGCAGCAGAGGCTACCATTTATGGCTATTACCCTTCATACCTAGATGGCCTCGAGGTAGAAGGGGTAGGAAAGAAGTTACCAGCATTTAGCCAGAACTGAATCCCTGAGCCAGGCCCTCATGGCACAGTAGTGAGTGAACGGAAGGGAAGTGGGCCCTTTTCCTACAGGCAGCCCCTTTGCTGGACTTTCAACATGCCTGGGCCAACAGAAGGAGGAGAGCAAAGAAGCCAGGGAGGCAGGCTTTGGAAGTTGGCTCTCAGGAGCAGGGGTAATCTGGGGACCAAAAGAGATTGCTCTGAGAGCACACATAATCCAAGAAAATGGCTGATTACTCTCCCATTTTGCAGCTGGACACGCTGAGACTGGAGACATGGGGAGGTATGATCACTCAATCAGAACCACACAACTGGGTTCCCATTAAGAAGTTATTTCCCAGTGAAGACAATAGGTGCTCTGCCAGCATCCATGGTCTCATCAAGAGACAGGCACAGAACAGAAGCCCAGGGACCAGGTCATGCAACAGAGCAGCACACTAAGGATGCAGGTCCCCCAGAACCCAGGCCTGTAGAATGTCTTCCTGTTTGTTGATTACCACGGGGAGATGCTAGCAGATCTGACTCTTTGTGCAGGACCTCATTGCAGCTGCCACAAAGGGGAGGTTCTTGTTCAAGAGCAGGATCCCCTTGGACTAGCTCTGGGAGGTCAGGATACCAGGGGAAGTCCTTAGGGCTGTTTCATGTTTCCATGGCTCTGTGCGTGTGCATGCACCCTGGCCCAGGCCTCCTGCATTCCCTGGACAGAGACAGGCCTGCGGTCCCCACCCCTCCCCCACTCAAGCCCTCTCAGAGGCCTCCTTGTTTGCAGTGTGGAGTGGAAAAATCCCACCCCAGCTCATGATTCATTGGGCTCCCCCGCTCAGGCTATGGGCCTGGAAAGAAACAGCCACGTTTTCCACTGTGCAAAAGCAGGGACTCACTTGGATGGAACAGAGGGGCCATGCACCCACCATTACCCTAGCCAACAATGTGAACACTGAGTACACCAGGGGCATGCCTGTTGCTGGGCTGGATGGCCATGGCCCAGACCTCTGGCTGATGGGCTGGAGGTGATAGCCATCCCTCAGCTAGGGGCCTGGACTGCTGTGTCAAGAGCCAGGCCATAGTCTGACCATGCCTAGCTGTGCTATAGACCCCAAGTTGCACTGAGGTATGCTGAACAGATGTGCCAAGCAAGGTCAGACTCTGGCCCAGATGCTCCAGAGCTCCAGAAGAAATGTCAAGAGGGTGCCTCTAGGCTTCCATAGTTGTAGCCTCATCAGGGTCCACCGGAGTCCAGCCTTGACTTTCTGGCAAATGGAAATGGTCTCATTACTGTCCTACCTGATAAGTCCAATTCCAGTTCCCGACAGCTCAGGAGACGCCAGCATCTGGAAGGTTGGGCATGTTCATTTCCCTGGTGATCACATAGGGAAGGGACTTTAGGCCAGGCCACGTGGTTACTTAGAGACAACTGTCTAGCACTGTCTGTGAAGAAGTTGCCCAGGGTGAGAAAGCAAGATCAGTGACCTTGTTCAGCCTCTGCTTCCTGCTAGCTGTGTGGCCTTGGACAAGTCATTTTGCCTCTCTGAGCCATCTCTGATTTTTTTTTTTTAACTCATCGAAAGGGCTTGGGATACCTCCAGCAGTGCATTTCCCTCCAACTGTGGGTCACCTGCCCAAGAGAACTGAGCCAAGGAGGAGGAACTACTTGAAAAGACACTACTCTCCCCAAAACAGTAGCAAGGGGTGTGTGTAGCTTAAACTACTGAATGGAGACTCCCAGAGGCTTGCCTAGCAGAAATAACAACTCATGCTATTTGAGAATCAACTTCATGCCAGGCACAAGGATTAGCACGTTTTATAGATTATCTGTGGCGACGGGCTATTATTATCCTCATTGGACAGCCATGGAAACCCAGGCTTGGAGAGGGAGTAGAAACAGCTGGCACAAAGCCACCTCTCCCAATAGCAGGGTTCTCTGCTGGTGCGAGCCCCCTGTCCCATGCTGTATTCTGTGGCTCTGAAGAAGAGATGGCCTGGCCTCAGTTCCAAATCTATGTGGACTGGATGACTGGAAAGGTACTGTCAGCTTGACTGGAGGCACCCAAAGGCTCAGAGTAGGTTGGGACTTGCCTGAGGCCACGCTGTGTTCTCCTCCCTCTCATAGGACTGTCCAGTGACCGTGGACTAACTGGTGGTATCTAACTGTCTGGATCTGGACTATGATTCTCAGGGACAGCAAGCCCCGGAGTATTCACAGGCCAGCATGCCAAGCTGAGTGGAGCCTAGCTGGGCTGCCCAGTGTGAGAGCATGATCTGTTGCCAGCCAGAACGAACTCAGTTTTCAACACCGATTCTGACTCTGGGCAGGGAACCTGGAATCTCGTGGATGGTTATTTGAAACAAATGAATTCCCAGGCCTCACACTCCTCGAAAGCCTGGCTTCCTTTGAGGGGTTTGGGCTCAGCCTCTTGCATTCATGTTTGCTAATCTCATTTTCTTCTTTGGGGTGGAAGGGACAGTCATTAGTTACTACATACATTTTAAAGGGAGCAGCTGAGGCATGGGCAGGAGGAAGGAATCACACAAAGTCCCAGCATGTAGTGTTAAAATCAGAATGCAAACAAAGTTTAGCCCCTGGCTTAGTCAGCCCACTCCTGCTTTCCTGCAAAAGGAGCCAAGATAGGGCCATGCAGGTGCTTGTAGGTCACTTCAGGGCCAGGCCTTTCTCTCTTGGGAAATGAGAGGCCATTAAATATTGTTGAACAAGGACATGGTCGGGAGATTAGACCAGAGGAGACAGAGAAACCTATGGGGCTTTGTTGCAGGTTCCTAAGAGCTGTGATGATGCTGGACCCCATGGGAACACATGAACATTTTAGTGCAAGCTCTGTGGTGTATAAGGCAGTAGACATATACTGCCCCTTATCCTTAAGTAGCCCTACAAGGACTGCGGCCCTTATTCGGGCTGGGCTGTCAGAGTGGTGAGTTGGCCACACCCAGCTGTGCATGGCAACAAGGCCATTTGAACTCCGGCCCAGCTGTTTCAAAGCCTCTGCGTGTGCCCTTCATGCTACACTGTCCCTCTGTGGTGCAGGGAAGCTTGGTGTGACCTTGGCTAAGTCCCTTCTCTGCTCTGGCTCTGCAGAGAACTTGGCTGAGCTCCCAGTTGCCTGCTGTTTTGTGTTATCAGACATTTGGCCTAGCCCTGGGGGTAGGATGACTCATCTTCTGTGTTAGTGCCTTTGAGGAGACTGCCATTTGCAAAGAGAGCCAGGCTTCCAAACAGATATTTCCCCAAGAGAAGGGAAGAGAAAAGGGTCAAGGAAGGCTTCCTGGAGGAGGTGGCATCCTAACAAGTTAGCTGAGTGATAAACGGCAGGGCTTCACAAACTGGGAAAGAACAGGTACTGTTTGTAGAAGGCCTGAAAACTCCAATAAGCATGAATTCCCCAGGACAGAGAACTTGGGACTCCTCTCTGTAGCCACAGAACTTCTGTACAGGATTGTTTTCTGTACATTTTCTGCTGTACCTCAGCATTGCCTCACACTCTCTTGCTTTATCTTCAGGGTCCCCCTGGGCTGCCAGGATTACCTGGATCTCCAGGTGCACGAGGTCCTCGGGTAAGTGACGGTGTTCTTGATGACTCTTTAGTTTGCATCCCACTGCCCATGAAGCCCCAGTCTGCCCCTCTCTGTACCTGTTTCCCATTTTGTCTTTTGGGGTGCACATGGTATGTGACAACAATGACATCTTGTACCCTTACTTGTTCCATCCTTTGTGACCTAGGGCATGGCAGGGATTCCTGAAGTCCATCTACATGAGCAGGTATTTGATCTGGTAAACCCCAGTGTGGCAGGAAGAGACCCTGGGGTGCCTCCCAACTCTGCCTGGTCTGGGGGTCTGACAGAACAGTTCTGTGTTCCTAGAGAAGTGCTAAGCTCCCAGGCTGAGACCAATGGCATTCATATCCTTGCCCGGGCTGATTGAGCCTTTCTGAGGCCAAGGGCTAGGCAAGCACCAGAGGAGGAAACTGCCTGTTGAATGTTTTTATCTCCAAGCCCTGCAATTGGTTTTGGTTATGCAATTACTTGGGCCCTGTTTCTTTCCAGACCTGGCTGTGTCCTCCTGAGCCCAGGACTCTGGAACCTTCCATCTGATCTGCCTTTCCTCCTGGCTGCAAAGCCTGCTGGGGTGCATGCCCAGAGCTGGGAACTATACACACTATACATGTGTTGGGATCCTGCATTTTGACCTAGTGTTCCAGGGCCAGGCATTCTGACCCCTGTCCCCAAACTTTGCCTGACCACCAGCCAACTTTGCTCAGTGTCGTTCCCCAGGCAGTTCTCCTGTGCAAAGTCCTCTGTCTGTAGCTCAGATGAGCTGCCACCCCCCATTTGGATGACTCTCCCTGTCTGGAGCTCCTCAGCAGTTTGCCTGGTACACACATGCTCCCAGAGCTCTGCTGGCTAACCCACATGAAGGTGATGCCACCCTGGGAAATAAGTACTAATAGTCTCCTTATTGTACAAAGGAGAAACCTGAGATTTCCAAAGGTGACTTTATTCCTTTATTCTTTTAGATAAAGTCAGAGGAGACGTGCCAGAGCCAGGGCTGAGCCCAGGCAGTTTCATTCTGTGGCCCATTCACCTTCCTGAGTGTTCATTGTGTTGATTTTTCTATCAGCACAGCCCTGGTACCCATGTGGCCACAGTAGGAGACAGGCCATGCTTGCCTGTCCATCTGACATGATGCCTAGCAGAGGTGCTGGGGGAGTGTTTGGGAAAGCTTCCCACCAGGAAGTTGTGTTGACATTAGGCAAGCCTAGTCCATCCTTCTTACTGACCTCAGTTTCCTTACCTGTGGGATCGGGTTCTACATCTCGGAGCTTCCTTCCAGCTTGGATGACTCTCTTGCATATACTTTGGGCTCTCTACCTGCCCCACTCCCTTCACCCTAGGTCTACACTGGAAATTCCATAGATCCTAAAATTCCACAGCTAGCGGAATGTTGGGTTAAATAACCCTGCTGCCTCTGCAAATGCAGCAGCTCTGGGCCCTGTGAGGGGCAGGGTCCTACCTGAGATCACCCAGAGCTGTGTGGCCTTGTACATTCCCCGAGCCTGTGGAGGGATGGGGAATCCCCCAGCCCCCCAGTCACCGTTCCAAGAAGCTCCATTTATGGAATTAGTCTGCTTGGCTCTTTATCAACTATGCGCTTATGAGGCAGTAGCTGGGAGGATGCAGATGGGACAGCCGTGAGGGGGTGTGTGTGTGTGTGTGTGTGTGTGTGTGTGTGTGTGTGTGTGTGTGTGTGTGACAACTAAGACAAAGGGAGAGGGGCAGCTGCTCTTGACCTTTGTGAGCCATGCTTGACCCTTGGGGGTTGGGTTGGACTTCAAGGATCCCTCCTCACTGCCCCCCATTGAGCCTGAACTCTGTTTATACCCCAGAACCTTGGCAGGGTGAATGCATGAGCTTTCCCAGACTCCTCAGAGGATCATAGTTTGGGGTACTCATAGGACAGATAGGGAGACAGAAGCTGGGGCGGGGTCACACTGAGTGAGACTCAGAGCCTGGACCAGGTCCTAACCTGTTCGGATTCCACCCCTAGACTGTTGGGAGTGGGGTAGGAGGGCCACATATAGCACTATAAATTCCCCAGGCTAAGAACTCTCTGGACACCCTTTCTTCCTGCAGTGCTTAGAGAAGGGAAGGGTCCCATTAAGAAGGTGACTTGGTGTGAATGTGACAGGCTACAGCTGGGGGATGGTTCAGAGAATGAGGCAAGGAAGCTGAATTAGATCCAGTCAACAGATGAGAAAGAGGGATCCACCTGGAGGCCTTGAGAGCATGTGGGACCAGAGACCAGTGAACCCCTCTAGATGCCCCTTCCCCCATCTACTCCTGACTATTGCCTCTGGGCAAAGGTCCTAGGGCATAACCTACCTCTCTGGTTTATGCTGCTGGGCTGGAGGAAGTGGATGTGAGAGAAGCCAGCTGTCAGAGGGGCCTGGAAGATGGCCTGAATAGTACAGTGCATGAAAAACACAGTCTGAAGACAACATCTGAAGACTCCATTCTTGCATGCTCACCCCCTATAGTGTGACCTTGACCAAGCCTCTTGACCTGTCTGGGTACAACTTCTAGCCATGTCTGGAGGATACTGCCTTGAGGCCTGCAGTCAGAAGGAGGGCTCTGACCCTCCTTAGAGGGGTGCCTTTGTCCCTGAGGGACCACACCCACCCTCCATAGAGTCCCAGCCCAAAGACTCTGGTAAAGTTTTGTGGGAGAGGTCACTTTGGTTAGACTAGCCCTAGAAGTTTCTCTGGAGGAGATGGCCTGAAGATAGGTCTAGTCTCTGCTGAGGGGTAGATGGGGAGATGGATAGGACATTCTAGACAGATGGTGGGGACAGCTAGGGCAAAGGAGAGAAAGTACCTGGAGGTTGGAGAAAAACAGTGTAGCTAATTGTGGTACTTGAGGGTCCAGGAGCAAAGGGTATACCCTGAGCTCAGACAGGTCAGGTCAAAGCTTGCTCTGAGCCACCTAACCACCTTCTGGGTTCTGGCTTCCTTATCTTCACAACAGGGGTAATGCTGGCACTTACCTAGGTGCATGGGATGATGGGATATGGTATGGGGCATACTCATGCAGACCCAGAATCCCAGGGTTCCCCTCTCAGAGGAAGCTGAGCTATTGTCTGTGCTGCTCAGCTGGGGCTGAGAAAGGAGCTCACACAACAGGATGGTGTAGGCAGTGTTGTCGGAGGTAGAAGATGGGTGTTTCTTCTTTCTCTCATCTCTTGTTTCTCTCTCTTCCTTTCCAGGGTCCTCCTGGGCCATATGGGAACCCAGGCCCACCTGGCCCTCCTGGAGCCAAAGTGAGTATTATCAGTGGTGTCTGGAGATGTGGCCATAGGTGGCAATGGGCTGGGGCTTTCTCTTAGGGTGTCTCCTGGGAGCTCCTGGTGGAGGACTCTCAGGGTCTTTGTGGGAGAGTCCCTTCCAGACTGTAGATACCCTAGTTTCTCCCTGCATGCTGCTCTGCACTGGAACTGGCTGTGCAGCACAAAGCGGTGGGTTTAGCTTGTGGTTGGGGAGGTGGCAGCTTGGAACCTGGGGCCCTTGAGGTGGGAGTAAGCAGAAAGGCAACCTGGTGCTTCCCAGGGAGAGACTTGACCTTGAATGTCTGATAAGGCTTGGGAGATATAACCTGGGGAGCTGTGACAGCTTTGACCTGGGAGAGGCATGGGAAGATGGATGTTTGGAAGGTGGCTGATTGTGGTAGGTGGGGTTGGGGTGTGGACCAGGCTGAGCCAGGAAGAGTGGGCTCATACTGGAGAGTGATGCAACCTAAGGCAGACGAGGTAGGGGAGAGAGGATGGAGATTGGAAGGAGATGGGACACTGGAACTCTCTGGAACTGGCCTGAGTGACAGCTTTCAGGTCAGAAAATGGACTGAGATGACATGTTTGTGAACCTGCAGCCCAGCCATGGTAGTAATGGGAGAAGCCTGAAAGGAGTGCTCTGAGCTGCAGATAGAGCAGGCATGGAGGTCAGCATAGGCTGCCACCCCCCACCCCCCAACCCTCACCTCCCACCCCTGCCAGGAGCCCTCTTGGAATACTCAGGTTTGTTTCTCATGAGACTGTCACAGCTGGGGCTTTGATGATGACAGAACCCCAGCCACTGAGCACCTACATTGGGTAGACATCAAGGTAGTCAGGCTGTTGTCTGAAGTAGTGGGCAGCAACATTTGGGTCACGGGGAAAGAAGCTTCTGGAATGGTAGAAGAGACGAGGGAGGGGGAAAGTATAGAGCATGAAGTTAGTGAACTGCCCACTACTGTGAGCAGGCCGAGAAGAGCAGTAGGTCTCCTGGCTCCCTGGCTTCCTGTCCCCCTCTTCATACCAGGATAACCAGGTGAGTAACAGCCCTAAGCTTTGGCTGGCCAAGGTCCAGGGTCACTCTTTGCTAAGCCAAATGCAAGAGTGAATGGCTTAAGGAAAGTTTTAACTGTCTGGCCTGGATCATGCTGAATAAGCAATGGCTGGCCTCTAAACCAGGCTTTTGAGACTCACTGAGTAACCCCAGCTGGCCTGTGAGATTCTCTTGAAGTGGCTACATACGGGAAGCCCCGGACACACAGATATACTGGACCAGTGCCCTATGCCAGAGTCCTTGTAAGGTTCTGCAAGCACACTGCTCCAGCCCCCAAGGTCTGTCTGTGGCTCTCAGGTCAGGCTGAACTGGGATTCCTTCTTGGAAGGCAGGCAATGGGGCCCTTAGGAATCTTCACCCAGCAGCTGCGGGGCACACCAGGTTCTAGCAAGGCCAGCAGTGGGGACAATTGCCACCATGTTTTATTGCCCCTCTCCCTGTATGCACTGTGTACATGTCTTACTCACTAGTCTCATCTGATCCCATACTGACTAAAAAAGATAAGTGTGAGGACTTAAAGAAACTGAGGCATGGGCAGATGAAAACCCAGTGCAGGAACTTGTCCAGATGGGTGAGGCAGAATGGGTTTTCCCTTAGAGATTTTTGTTTGTCAGAGGCAGAGGGTCCATCAAGATATTTGAATGAATGGGATTGCCCTTGGCTTGCTCCCTCGAAACTGGTCCCTTGCTTGCAGGAGGATGCTCCGTCAGCTACTCCTTCTGGCCTTTTCTGGCCCTGGTCACCCTCTGAGCACTGCAGGCAACCTATTCCATCTATGGATGTCCCATGTGGCAAAAGGATCCCTAAAGGCCTCCCCAAATGAAGGGTTTGGCACAGGGCCTGGTCCCTAGCAGGCAAATCCTCTTGCCACTTGGAAATGAAACTTCTGGATGAGATTGACTTGGTTGGCTGAACCTCGAAGTCATCCTGTGTCAATCTAACATGGAAGATGTTGGCTTAATGTAAGCCATTTATCACTGGTCCCAGGCCATTCAGGATATTCTGTATTGGGTGTAACCGAGGGTGTGAGTTCCAGAGAAAACCATGGAATGAAAACTGTCTCTCCCAATGGGACTTCTATAAGGCTATAACGCAAATGATGCCTGGATGCTTGGTTGTGAGCAAAAGTTGTGGCAGTGACTCAAGGCTGACCAGCTGGGTCAGAGACCTCAGTCTGCTGGGTCTGTCCCTGACCATGTGCTGTGGCCAGGTAGAGAGCTCCTTCTGTCTGGATCAAACTGGTGGCTTGGCTGAGACTCAAGGAGAAGAAGGTCATGTGTTTGAGATGGGGGAAGTGTTGTGGAGAGGGCTCTAATTGCTCATCAGGGCTCCTTGAGGTAACCTGATAGAATCACAGGGCTAGCCTTTCTCAGGGCTTTTTGGCTTAGCTTGCTCTCCTGTTTTAGCATGGTGTTGGCTTCCTCTGGGACTGCCCATCTAATGTCATCATCCTTGATTTAGTGAGACCCCACCATGTGCTGTTGACAGCTGTAGTGGCACAGAGCCACCAGCCTCCAGGATGGGAGGCAGGGTCAGAAGATGAGCAGGAAAGGGAGAGACGAAATGTTATCCTTCTGGAGAGACAGTAGTAAAAGAGCTGAGATGACAGGGCTGGGTCCTGTGTTCTGGTGGAAGGCCACATGCAGTGTCCTTGTATTTGCCTGTGGAGTTCTGCCTGGGCTCCACAGCTAGTCCAGGCTAGACCAGGCTCTATCCAACTCTGCCTCCTGCAGAGCCCTGTCAGAAAGAGTGCTCCTCAGCTTCCTCCCAGATAAGGCCCAGGGCTCTGAGTGCACTGAACTAGACTAGGCTTGGGGACAGCACTGGTGAACTGAGTGGCTCAGGGTGGAGTCACTGCATAGACTCATTTATTCACCCACTAATGGTTGGACTTCAGGAAAGTACGGATGTTAAGAACACAGGCTTTGGAACCTAATGACCCAAGCTCAAATTCCCAGTTCTCTCCCCACCCCAGCCCACCCCACCCCACCCAACTTCCACGGCAGTGGGCAGATTGAACTTATCATACCTTAGTTTCCACCTGGAGAGTAGAGTAATTAGAGCAGCTGCCCTCCACACCAGGTTGTGAGGAGTGTCTATGTCTTCTGTGTAGGGAAGGGATACCCTTCAAAGGATGATGGAGTCAACTCATGCCAGGCTCCAGACTGGTCCCAGACTAGCATGGTCCTGCTTTTGAGACCAGCAAGAAACAGAGCATGCCCTTAAGCTAGGGAATGGAGGACAACACTGGTTGGGGCTACTTGGATGTCCGTGGAATTAGACTGATTGTCCTGGGGGTGAGGCCTCCCTGCGGTTAGTAAAGTGGAAGGCACAGAAAGAAGCTGGGACACTTTTGACATTGTCCATGCAGCAGCAAGAAGGCAGAGAATGGCTTCAGTAGGGATGTGCTCAGGAGGTTTGTGGCCTGCATGGCTGCCCCTGTAAGCAAGGCTTGGCCTGAGGTCTATAGGAAGTGTGATGCTGACCAGGGCAATGCTGCTGCAGATCACAGCGAGTCAGGAGTGATGCTTGTCCTTGGTAGTGGGGTGATGGCTGTGTGGTCAGCAGTGGGTGAACTCCCATCCACAAAGAAGTTGGATTCTGCTTCTTGGGGCCAATGAAGTACTGCATCCTCAGGCTGCCACTCTGTCCCTGGTCTGGCCTGGTGGATTAGCCAGTGTGAGTATGGACCCTGGGGTACCACGGGTGCACAGGGACTTAGAATTGGTCAAAATCAGAGTGAGGACAGCCATATACATACGGCTCTCAGGCCTCCAGCCTAGGCTACCTTCCTCTTTCCCATGATGACTGAGGTAGGACACATTCATTAAGGCAAACATGGAGAAGTCCTAAAGGATCTGGGATGAGAAGCCATGGCCGACAGCAGCTCCTGTGCAGCGATAAGCACAGTGCATGTTTGCAGCAGAGGCAGACAAGACACCACGGAGAGCTTCTCTTACTTCATAGGGCAGATGTTATCACTCCCACATTACAGAAGAGGACACCGAGGTCACATTTCTAATGAGTGGCAAGGCTAGACTCCCAGACACCAAGATCAGACACAGAGTCACAGGGCTCATGAACCCTCCACCTTGGGCTATCCAATTCTCCCTGCATGTGTCATATACAGGATGTGGTTTTCTCTCCCAGAGGCGGCAGTCTGGACCTCCTTACCATTCCATGGCAAGCATGTCCCGCTGTGAATGTTTAAGCCTGAGTGTGTTCTAAGGGCTGGTGGAAGGCACCCTGTCAGCATTCTTACCACATTCTTTCTCTAGCTGTGTTCCCTATGCAAAACTAATTTCTGCTAATATACATGTAACATCTTGAAGTATACGACTACACCTGAGTGCTGGGATTTCTATTTCATTAGGATAAATTTGTGGGAAACAGAGTTCCCAGTATAGACTCAGGAGCCAGAGGGCCCCAGTTTGAATTCTGGTTGTACCCTGCACTGCATGTGTGACTTGGGCTGGTTATTTCAAGTCTCCAGACCTGGCTTCCATCTCTGTGAGCAGGAGTGGCTCACACCTCTCCTGCATTGTTCTCAGGACTGAACTGTGTGTGTTTATGTATGTCACGGTATGCATAGGCGTGTGCAAGCAGCATATGTGAATAATTTATAACATGCCTGCACAGAAAAGCTGAGGGTGCCTGGCTATTAACGTCTTAGTCACTGCCTTGGGGGAGGGGAGGGTTGAGCTAATGTTGGAAGAGCATTAGAGGAAGATGCTGAAAAGAGACAATTCATTATTTTTGCTGATCATCTATGACATGTTTTTCCTTATGTCTCTTTGAAATGTGTTTCACCACTTGTAATTGTTTTAGTCGTGGTGGGATGCTGTCTTTGTTATTGACATGTAAACATTATTCATATATGGAAATTATGAAAGCTTCACCTACTTAGAAATATTTTCCTGATTTGTTCATTGCCCATGAGGCTATTCATGGTGATTTTCACAAATGAAAGTTTTATTCTTTTTGTAAAAAATTTACAGTAATAGGACCGGGGAGATAGCCCAGCTTAGTCAAGAGCTTGGGAATCTGAATCCAGGCTCCAGAATCTGTGTTAAAAAAATTATGTGTGATGGGCACATTTGTAACCCTAGTACTAGGGAAACAATTGGAGGATCCCTGGGTGGGGCTTGCTGGCCAGGCAGGCTGGACTTCTCAGTGAAATCCAGGGTAGTGAGAGGCTCTGTCTCAAAAAACACCCCCCAAAATAGATGCACCTGAAGAATCATAGCAGAGGCTGTCCTCTGGCCTACACAAACATGTACAGACATATGCATGCACACTTGCACATGCACACATTAACTATATTAACATGTTTAAGGAACTTATAATGAGAAATGATTTGGAAAAGGCACTTTCCCCTTAAAATTTTAAAGCTTTAACTTATTGCTATTAATATTACTGTGTATGACCTATGCATGGGTGCATATGTGCGTGCATAGTGTATGTGTGTGTGTGTGTGCGTGCACGCATGCGTGTGTTCATGCTATGGTGCGATTTGAAGGTCAGAGGACAACTTTGTGGAGTCAGTTCTCTCCTTCTACCTTAACATGAATTCCGAGACCAAACAGTTGCCAAACTTGCACAGCGAATGCCTTTACTGGCTTAGCCGTCTTCCTAGGAGGTACTGGGAATTGAACATGGTTCCATGCATGCTAAGCATATGCTCTGTCATTCAGCTGCAGTCCCAAGCTTATTTCATTTTTATACTTAAAATTTTTTTCTCACGCTTGTGTTAGCGTCAAATGTGTTCACTTTTATTTCCAATCATTCCATAATATCATTTGTACTCAAATTTTTCAAGCCATAGCCATCTGGAATTAATCTTAGTGGGGCTGGGATGTGAACTAGCATTCTAACGTTGCTTTCCCCTTGTAGTTGACCAGTTATTAAGCAGCCTTTGCTCTGGTAATGGTTGTGGAGTAGATGAGGGTCTGTTTTAGGTCATTCTATTGTGTTTCATTGATGTTTGTCCATGTGCATGCTAGTGAAATACTAGTTTATGTGACATTTACTATCTTTGTAATGTGTTTATGTGTTTCCCCTTCTTGCTTCATTTCAAATATTTCTGACTTTTTTCTGTTAAATGAATTTTATTTTCATTCTTATTTAAAAAGCTATCTTGTTTTTTTCTATCTGAAGCTGTATTAAGTGATATATTAATTTGTGAAGAGTCAGCATCTTTAAAATATTAAGCTTTCCTATCCACTACACACATGGTATGTCTTCCAGTTTGGTTGAGGCTTTTAAACATCTTGCAGTAAACTTTTATAGTTTTTATTGCATAATCCCTGCACATTTGTTATTCAGTTTATACTCAAAATTTAATGTTTTGTTGCTGCTATACTTTCTGCTGGCTCTCAGTTACTAAAGAGAACTTTTTATTTTTGCCCTTTTTGTATGTAATTTACAACCCTGTCTTTTCTCTCTTTATGAAGTGTATTGTCTGTTCTACTCATGCTTCAGTTAGTTCTCCTGAATACTCTAGATAGGAAGTCATATTTGCAAATAAGGACATACTTTTTTTTCTCCTCCTTTTCTTTGTTTTTCCTGCTTTATTGCGTTGGCCTGGACTTCTGAACCTATGAAACAGTAATAGCCACAAAGGAAATCTTCAGAGGAAGTCTCAGGACCTGGCCAGATGTGGCTCCTGCTTCTCTTGAGACCCCATTTGCTTATTCATGAACTATTTTGTGATGCTGTCTCTGGGCCAGGCCTTGTGCTGTATACTTGCGGTCACAGGGGAGTTATGTAGGATACTTCCATTTCTTGACCCTTTGTAGTTTAGTCTTTCTCTGTCTTGTTGTCTTTCCAGGCCTCAGTCATAGAGAGCCCTCAGTTCTCTGTTCTCCTTTCTGAAGGGATGGAGCACAACACAGTTCCCATCACACCACAGTCTTAAGACCTAGCATTCATGTTTTACCTTCCAATAGTCTACTTGGCTGTAAGGCTTCATGAACTAGTTCAAGCAGAGGGCATCATGTGCCTTGCTCCAGGTTGCCATGTGACTTGCTCCATGTCACCATATGGCTTGCTCCAGGTTACATGGGCTTCTTGACTGAAGAACTGGGTCTAAGGACCAAATCCTTTCCTTCAACACATAAAGGATTCATAAAACATCATCTATTGTTTTTTTCTCTCATTGGCACCTTTGTAGGCATCTAGCTGGGCAAAGCAGGTGTGTTTAGCCCATGGTCCACAGGCTGTACAAGGTCAAGGTTAGCAACGAATGAAGCTGCCATAATTATAAATTTACTTAAAACATATTTTATGCTTTTTTTTTGAAACTCATTTGTGCAGATGTCAGGTATGAACTTTGTAGATGACAACATCAGAAGATTGAAGACACCAGGAAAGTCTCCATTGTAGAAGCCATCCTTTGTCTGGGCAGAAATACCTTGATCTGAGCCTCAGCTTAACCGCCATCCTTTGGGGATTTACCTACATTTAGGCAAAGCTCTCAGCCTTAGCCCTGCCCTCCACTTATCACTGGAGTGTAGATTTTCACTCCCCTGTGCTGAAATGTAGAGAGCTTACAATCAAGTTTCCTGACCCTAAATCTTACTGTCAGACCTTGGATAAGCAGCAGCTCTTTGATCTGCCTTCATTTCTTCTTCTGTAGAATGGAGCTCATGAGTGTTGCTCCTTCATAGATTCGGGGGTCAAATGAAATAATTTGCAAGCAGGGCTTAAAAGAACACTCACTAAATGTTAGGCTGCTATGATTGTTCTCTCAGGCTTCTCTCTCAAGGAGCCTAACTCCTGTGTTTTTTTTTTTTGTTTGTTTGTTTTGTTTTGTTTTGTTTTGTTTTTCTACCATTAGCACCCCTGGTGTTCAATACTACTTGTGGCTTGTAGTTAATGTTCTGGCTCCCAGATCCTGGCTTGTAGCGAATGTCCATTCTTGTTAATCCGTCTTTGGATAGAGATTATATCCAAGCACTTATAGAGAAATCCATCAATAACTAAAGAGTCACGGTCAGGGAGACAGTCTGTCATGGTATCAATCTTTGTACTCTGTGAAATGACAGAATAAGTACAGTTCACAAAGTCCCACTCCTGTGAGTTTGTGTGCCAGCTCCTCTGCCGGCTGCAGACCATGGTGGGCAAGGTGGTGTGGGGGAGAATATCTGTCCTTTTTTGGCCACAGGAATCCCTGGTAGCTGGGTAGCCTGGGCCAGGCCTTGCACTGTGGACATAAAAGGCATGGAGCTGGGCTTCTGATTTACAGAGGGTGGGAAAGTATCTCAGAGGGGTGGTCATAATGTCAGGTACATCTGGAGGTAGGGTTCTGCAGGTGGGGTGCTCAGGGTGACAGAATTAGGGTTCTTGGGACCTACCAAGGACAGGCTGGCCTTCTATTGGGGCAGCTGGCTGGAGGACGGGATGGATGGCTGGGAGATGGTGGAGAGGGAAGAACCTCAAGGTTGTAGATAAAGGCTTTGACATCAGCCAACCTGCTTCCCACCAGCTTGGTCAGCCCAGGCTGTGCTGGCTTCTCTAAAGCCCAGTCCTGTCCCTCACTGAAGCAGAGAGTAGGTATGTAGACATACCTCACAGAGTATGCATACTAGGGAGCTGGCAGGGAGGCTCTTTCCAGCCCAGGTCAAGATGGTTTCCGGTGGAGATGGACCAAGTTAGGATTTGGGAGGTCTGAGTTCCGACAAAAAAAAAAAGGACTTAGTGGAAATTAAAGCCACCCTTTTTCCATGTGTCACAGCCATTATCTAGGCGAACTGGCTGTTCACCTAGAAACCCGAAAAGCCAGTCTGTATGTGAGTGTACATGTAAGGTACATGTCCTTCTTAGAAAAGTGAGGGAACACTAGTTAGAGAGAAGACCCGTGGCCTGTAGTCCCACTGTGAGCCCATGGCAGGCCCAGGACACCCACCCAGGAATTCTGGCTCTGTGCTCACTGAGGCAGCAAGGCCAGGGGCCTTAGGCAAAGGGGATAGGAGTGGGTTGAGAGGTCTAGTGTTCTCTTGCAGGTGAGAGCTCTCTTTTAATCCCTGTGAGATACAGACAGTGAGCTCTTTGGCCTTTATGCTGACCCAGGCTCTAGGGACCAGGATCCTTGTGACAGAACCCCCTCATATTCCAGGAATGGACAGTGCTTGCCCCACACAGAGACTTGCCGTTACTATCATGTTCTCACCAGTGCACTGCCCTCATCCCACCAGTGTGCTCCCACAGACCTGGGAGTCATGGTTTAGGGGTCCAGTCTCAGTTCTGTGTGCCTTTTCCTGGGTTCCTGAAAGCTCTTGCTCCTGGTCTCAGTTTCCTTGAATGTATTTTGGGGTGATATGGTTCCCTATTCTCAGCCCCCAGCCTAGAGTGGGAGTCTAATGCAGTGTGCAGGTGGGAATGGCCATGATACATATGAAACGCTTTTGTGGGCTTGGCTAGTGGGCGGAGAGCAGAATTTGAACTGCCTGGGGCCAGATCATGGAAGACTTGGGACACTAGAAGGAATCTGGAGTCATGTCGTCAGAGGGAAGCAGTGGATGGTGTTGAAGTAAGACAGTGAGTGACGGGACTGAGGGGGAGGGTGTCTGTGGGTGAAAACCGGCCAGGTAAAGGAAGAGGACTATGATATGTGGGGAGGCTGCTCAAGGTGACATGGTGACCAAAGAAGATTACTTTTATTTCAGGGACAGAAAGGGGACCCAGGACTCTCACCAGGACAGGCTCATGATGGGGCAAAGGTAAGTTCCAGGAACGCCAGTACTCCAAACCTGCCCTGGAACCCTCCAGGAAGAGACCACACATGAGCCAGGAGTCATGAATTCCTGGAAAGTGGACGTGATTTGGTGTTTTTCTTGAAGGTCTTGGTCTATCACAGCACTGAGGCTGTCGCCATACCCAACACCACCTTCCTAGGCTACAGCTGGTGAATCAAACAAACAAACAAAAAAGATTTGGTGTGTGGACACCCTTTGGTAACTGCCCTTTCGCTCAGTGCCCCATAGCTTTCTGTGTGGCTTGCTAAGTGATACTGCCATACAGAAGCTTCCTGGCATTCAGTGCCCTGGAAATTTCCAACTGATCTTCAAAGCCCTTGCAGGTGTTCACTGTGGTGAAAACGTGGTGATTCCAGGGCAGGGAGGTGAAGGGGCCAGGAACATAGGACTTCCTAGCTCCCTGGGGCTATGAAGCTAAATGGGTTGCTTGCAGAAGAGAAAGCACTTAGAGCAAAGCACCTTCCCCATCCCCTAAGCATCCACTTCCAGGTTGAAAAAGGGCCCTGGAGGTCAGATAGGAAGAGAGGACCCAAACTCCAGCATGCTAATCACAGGCCTCAAGTATCATACTCTAGAGTCTGGAGGAAGGTCTGTCTGGCTACTGTATGGACCTTGAGGATTAGGACTTATATCTCTGCATCTCTAGCCAACTGCTAGGCGCATGCACGCCCCCGAGCACGCACACACAAACACACACACACACACACACACACACACACACACACACACGGTAGGGGAGGCCCTTCCTTTGATCTTTTCTTGTCACAGGAGGCTCACTACTTCATACCCCACTGCCAAGCGTTACCACTCAGTAGACCTGAGCTAAGTGAGTCAGTCCCAGGACAGTGTCATGTCCACTCCCTCCATTCTCATTACCTTCGCCAGGGCAGATAGGGCTAGACTGAAAACGAGAAAGACACTCAGATGAGTGTCTAGTGGTAGAGTGGCCTATGGTCCTTTGCTCTGGTCCTGAATGGCAGAAACACCTCCTGCTTGGTGACCACCATCCCCAGTGATGACAATGTGCTTCGGGTGATGAACAGAGCCAATCAGTGAGGGGTATAGTGTGGGGTTAGCCAATTGGGTTTAACATCAGAACCTGCTCTCCAAATGATGTCTTCTGCTTAAGTCCTATATATAAGCCACAGGTGGAGCTGGTGAGATCAGGGAGTCGGGGAGATGGTGACCCCACCCATTCTCCTGCCCCTACCTTGCTCAGTGACCACCATGTCTTCTCTGAAGCCTTTAGGCCCCAGTGAACCTCCATGAGTGGTTGCAGCTATTCCTCACCTGACTCTGTTGTCTGTGTCTTACAGGGTAACATGGGCTTGCCTGGGCTCTCCGGAAATCCAGGACCCTTGGGACGGAAGGTAGGTCTTGGTTCTGTTCTTGGCCTTGGCCATGGGCCTGCCAGCAAGCTTGGCCTTCTAGCAAAAACACTGTGGGTCACCTGTGCCTCCTGGTTGCAGCTGGGTTATCTGGGCACAGAGCCTGTTCACAAGAAATGAGAGGTTTCTGAGTCCTGAGTGTGCCTCTTGGTGTGAAGTAGATCCCCTGTGGTTAATGAGGCGTGACTAGAATACTCACTGTATCTCCCAGTGCAGCAAACCTCAAGGATGCTTGAGGTGGTTAGAGCACTGTCTGAAAGGCCCCACTAACTGAGTGGCTTTAGACCTGTGTCTCTCCTTATGTGCAGTGAGGACAGCGATCTCCTTATCAGTCCCTCACTGCCTGGGCCTGGCTGTGTGACTCAGGGGAAGGGTCTGGGTACACTCTTAACCTCTGAGTCTGAGACATCCCTCATTGATAGGCTGTAGACAAAGGGATGCGCTCTGCGGATGGCACATATTCTTTGTATGTTCCATGTGGTTGTTATGCTAACCCATACCTGCCACCTCTTTGGCCACTCTAGGTCTGATCTTGGTTGTTGTTAGTGAGGCTTCTGCTGTTTTCTAGGACGGGCTCTCCAGATACCTTGGACTCCTTCCTCCCTGTCCCCAGCTGGCATCCCCCATTCTTCAAGAGGAATTGTGCCTCCTTTTGAAGCCTTTCTGGGCACTCAGACTTTGGGTCACTATGGCCACCTGCTCAGGGACATGGCCCATCTTAGTTATTTTCAGCCCCGAGTGTTGCCTCACTACAGGGTATGCACATGGGGCTTGTGACACTGGTTCTTCCTCCTGGCACAACACGGAGATCGTGTGCTGCAGGTGTTCCAGACATGCAGGAAAGGCAATATAGGCCTGAGGCCAATCACTTTTTAGCAAGACTCTCTCACTGCTGAAGAGCTGTCCAGCAGACATGTGGGCCCAGGGCTTACTTCCACTCTGGTTCCCAGATGTGGCTCTGATGCCGGCTCCCTAGACCAGTCATCTGGTTTTCATTGGGACAACCAGAATGTCCCCTGGCTCCAGGCTGCTCCTTAATCTGAGGGTACCCATGACACAGGGAATTTGGAAGGTCATAGCCATCACCCCCTCTTCTACTGCCCTCTGTGGCAGAGCAGAACAAACCTTGAACTTCAAAGGCCAGTCTGACCATGGGAAAGCATTGTGTTTTGCTGGCTTGGCACACCTGCTGCTCTGTATGCACCCGGCCTGTGTTCTGGTACTTTCTGGTGGAGGAGCTAAGGAAGGTCCTTTCCATCTGACTTGTAAGGCCCATGGTGGCCTCACTTAGAAGGGGTAGGAAGGCAACAGAAGGGGAGGAGGGAACACAAACTTGTGCTACTTACTGCCTGCCTGGGATTCTGGGGCTCCCTGTTCTCAGCAGATGGCCAAGGGCACTGACAGCCCCTGCTCCCTTGTGCAGGGCTGGGCATCTTCTCAGTTCAGGGAGCTCCTCCAGTGGTTGGCGGCATACTCTGTGCTCCTCTCTGGCCCTAGCCCAGGCAAACAGTTATGCACATTTGTCACAGAGCCTTGACATATGACAGGCAAACTGTGTCACCCATGTACTGTGTAGAGCACAGACTACTCAGGCCCTGAGATAGGGACTGGTGGTATCAGGGAGGAGAATGAATGGCTTGGTATCCTGTTTCTGGGCTCAACCCTATAAGCAGTCCCCCATGTCTGGTGACTGTGGCAGCCTCTATGACCTGTTGCTCCAGGGTGACTATGTTTTCTTCTCTGTGGGAACCCTGAGGAGAAGGAACACAGGTGAGTGAACTCAGCTGTCTGTGGCATTGAATTTGGTTTTATCATTCATCCATTCATTCGTGAAATAAGAATGTATTGAACACCTACTATGTGCTGGGCCTATGCTGCATGAACACAGAACCTGCCTTACAGAGTTTCCTTTATGGAAGGGCAGAAAATAGAAAAACAATAAAAATCTAGGGTGTGTTGGAGGATAGGAAGGGCTATGGAGAAAGTGGGAAGGAGAGAGTTCTGGCTGGGAGAGTGCCAGTGGGGAAGAGGTGGCAATTAAAAGCATCAGAAGGCATGACTGGGGCTACCTTGGTCAGTAAAATGCTTGCCACCTAAGCCTGAAGACCTGAGTTCAATTCCTAGCACCACATAAAAAGCCATATGTGTTTACATGAGCTTGTGATCCCAGCGCTGGGGAGGTGGAGACAAGCAGGGTCCCAGTACCCACTGTCTAGCAAGCCTGGACTAACCAACAAGTTACAGGTCCCTTTAAGATGCCCTGTCTCAAAACACAAGCTGAATATATAAGCTGGGTGCAGTGGCACACACCTATAATTCCAGTACCTGAAAAACAGAGGCAGGAAGATCGCTGTGAATTTGAGGACAGCTTGGTCTACATGGAAAGTTCCAGGTTAGCCAGGGCTGCATAGTGAGACCCTGTGTCTAAAATGAATTAAACAAGAAGGGCATTTCTTGAGGAACAATACCTAAGGTTGGTTTCTGCCCTTCACATGCATGCACACATAGGTGTGTGCACATATATGAACATACACTTGAAAACACATACACTCACACACATGATGCTGTCTCACAGAGCAAAGCAAAACCATGCCCATTTCATAGCTAGGATGACTGAGGCCCAGCTAGATCTTATTTATTTACTCACCTTCCTGTTAGTCCGCACATGCGGACTTATGCTGTAAGCCCTGAGTTGACCCTGGTGTTGAGTGACAGGTGGAGGTTGTCAGGGCTTCCAGGATACATTCTACAGTGGTGGCCCTCAACCCTGCTGAGTGTTGACACACGGGGGAGGGCCTAGGCCCTATCCCAAAGGATATGATAGACTCTGTTGACCACCTATGGAAGGCCTCACCCTCCCCGGGGAACAGAAAGGATATGTGATGGATAGGGTTTTAGTTGGGGGAGTGGTAGGGGAGGAGGGGAGGGATTGACATATAAAACAATCTTGTTTCTAATTAAAAAAAAACAAAAAAACAAAAAACCCTGTTGAGTGTCAAGCCACTGTGTGATTCTAGGCTAGGCACTAGACCTAGGCAAGAGAACCTCTGAAAGGCCCCAGGTGGGTTCCACATGCAGCCAAGATCCAGTCACCAACTTAAGGCAGAAACCTTCCTTGTGTCTTAAAGTGGAGGGCTGGGGCCTAAACCTGTGTCTCGGACTCTCCGGCCCCTTTCTTACCACAAGACTGACTGAGACAGTTTCTCAACTGAGAGAGGACCTGCTGAGTTCACACTCAAAGGAGGCTTCTTTATGAGACAGTTCATTGGAATGGAATGTGATGGAGTCCCAGATCTGCCCCCTGTGCCCCCTGTGGTTGTAAATGGGGGTGAGCCACCTCCACTGTCCAGAGGTTGGTGGGGAGGTTAATGGAATGTTGTAATCCCAACACTCACACAGGGCTGGCACATGACAAGTATCATATGTATTTGCCTAATGAATGAATGAATGATAATGATGGTTGTGAAAGAGAAGCAGCTGAAGAATTCTTGCTCCTCTGGTATCATTAATCCTCTAACCCATTCTTAGCTCACCAGACAAGCTGCCCTTCTCCCCTGCCCCCCATGGGTCCTGAGCTGGCCTGGTGCCTTTCTTGTTGTTGATGTGGACCAGTGCTTCACTGCAGGAGGTCACTCTGCCCTCCAGGACAGGAAGGTTCATAGCCAGGTTCTTACTCTGGGCCTCAGACTTGCAGTGATCCTTCTGTGTCAGCATCTAGCACTAGGGTAACAAACATACAGTCACACCCACAAGAAGGTGGGAAGGTTGTAGCTATTCACATGTAGGAGCCGGGTACACTCCTCAGTCCTGCAGGGCACAGGGCAGTCCCTGTCCCCAGTGTGCATGAGTCCAGCCCCTGGGCTGAGGCTGACTGGTCAGTGGCATGGTCCCTTACTTCGTCCTCCGTGCCCCCTGTGTTGCTTGCTGCTATGCCAGTGGCCTGACCTCTCCACACCCATCATTAACGCTACTTGCTTCTCTTCCCTGAGTCTCTCCCCAGAACCCCCAACAGTTCGTACCCTCATTTCTCAGACTCTGTGGCTCATCTTTTGAGTCTCCTTGGGTTTTCCCCACTTTCTGGCTGTGGAATGACTTTCCAACTGGAACAGTGCTCTGAGGTCATAATCCTGCATGACCATTGTAGTTTCCCTACAAGAAGTTCAACACACACTGGGCACCTACATCTTCCTGGCCCCACCTCTCCCTCTTCCCATCCCTCTGGCTGACATCACCCATTGATCTGTCTTGCCAAGACCTGATAACAGGCCTCTGTGTCTTAGCATGCTGCCAGGCAGACATGACTAATGGAAGGAAGTTGGTTTATTGAAAATCATTTCTCTTTTCAACCTACTTCCCCAGGCTCCTCTGTGGGTCATGGGTTGGCACTGCCCTCAGGAAGGTGGGATAAAGGTGGAGGGCAGAGATGACAGCCCCTGCCTGAGAACCAGCTATTCTTCCGTGTGTGTGACATCCAGCTTCATGCTGGGCTCTTTCTGCCAATTCCCACTGGCCTCTCTCTTGCCTCCACATCTGCCCTACTGCCCTCCTCAGGGCACTGTGCAACCTCCCCAAGTCGAGCTCCATCTCAGGCACTCTATTCTTTTTTTCTTTGTATTGTTTTTTTTTTTTTAAACAATCTTATTTTACATATCAATCCCAGTTTCCTCTCCTTCCCATCCTCCCACTCCCCTACCTTCTCCCCACCCCCAATCCACTCCTCAGAGAGGGTGAGGCCTCCCATAGGGAGTCAATGAAGTCTGTTACATCAGTGAGGTGGGTCCAAGGCCCTCTCCCCTGTATCTAGGCTGAGCAAGGTATCTCTCCAAAGAGAATGGGCTCTTAAAACAACAACAAAAACAAAACAAAACAAAACAAAACAAAACAAAACAAAACAAAACAAAAGAACAGTTCATGCACTAGGGGCAAATCCTGGTCCTGCTGCCAGTGGCCCCACAAATATCCCAAGCCACCCAACTGTCACCCACATTCAGAGAGCCTAGGTTAGTCCTATGCAGATTCCCCAACTGTCAGTCTGGAGTCAGTGAGCTCCCACTTGTTTGGGTCAGCTGTCTCTGTGGGCTTCCCCATCATGGTCTTGACCCTTTTGCTCGTATTATCATTCCTCCCTCTCTACAACTGGACTCCAGGAGTTCAGCCCAGGCACTCAATCCTTTACCTACATTCCTTCTTCATGTGTCCTCGGTGCACCTACCCCCCTTCTAGAAGGTAGTGACAGTGACCACATTGCTTTTGTTAAGTGTTATGCCTGCTACTGCCTATCCCCTTGGCTTTGGTCATGGCTCAGGCTCAGCAGAAGTTTGTTGAATGAATTAATGGCTACACGAATGAACAAGCTACATGAAAAGTAGCCCTTCCTGCCTTCCCTTCCTCAACTTGGATGTCCGGTAGTCTATCTGACACTTCTAGGCGACCCACTGATTGGAGAATCCTCTAATATCAGAGCCTGGAGGGCATGCTGAGCGATCAGACAGGCTTAGTCTCACCCAGTTTCTTTCTTTTTGACCCTCCATCTTATTGTCTGCTGTGGGGTGTGGCCTTCTGGGGTGGCAGGTGAGTTCCATGGACAGCCTTTGTGTACTGAGCAAGACTGGGCAATGGGTCCCACTTTCCTACTGAAGTGGAGGCTGGCAGCAGCCTTGGTCTGGGCACACACTGGTGTCCAGACCCTCAGGCAGGGACAGGATCCCCCCTCCTTGCCTGAAGTCCAAATAGCACCCCACTGTCTGTGGCAGGGTGAGGTGATGTCTGGTTCCTCCTTGTGCACTGTAAGCAGTGATTAATCTGGCTCCCAAACCAAAATAGAGAGCGTGCTGTATTATAAACACAGGGCCTGTGGAGGCCCGCCTGCCAGGCAGTCAGAGGCCCCATCTCTTCTGTAGTACCTCTGCCTCCCTCCCACCTGGCACCTTTCACCCACACTCTGGAAATCACTGCCCTGGGGATGCCTTGTGGGATAGGCTGGCCCCATAATTGCCAGGGCCAGGAGAAGATAATGGTTTAGAGTCTCATGTCCCCAGCCCTGTCATTTAAAACTGTTTGGTAAACACTGCCTAAGAGGCTTCCACAGAGCCGCTCAGTACCCCACCTCCCACCTTGACTGTGTTTGTCCCACAAGCCTTAGAAGCACATGCTCACAGTCACATTCAAGGTCCTCTGGGGTTCACTAATCCCTACAGCTCAGCCCATCACAAGGATCTGGAGCTTAGAGAACATAGCTTCCTGCCAGCAGCCATCCTTATCCTGGGACCTCCGTTGTGTTGTCGATGCAGAGCAAGAGATGGTCAAAATGACTTTGGTCCCATCCAACATGGGACTCCCAGCATTCTACCACTGACCTTTGCCCTGAGGATGTTGCCATGACCCAATGACTCTGTCTCAGGGAGATGCATCTTTAAGGGGACCTTTCTTGTTCTTCTTCTGGGCTTGTCCCAGCCTCAGTGCTTGTGGTTAAGGTCTGAGGGATTTGAGCCACAATCCATGTGCTATTCCAAGAAAGTTGTGTGGCCTCAGGAAAATCCCTTCTGTCCCCGAGCCTCAGCTTTCTCACTGGTGAGCCTTCCAGGTGATTCCTACCTCCTAGAAGTGATTCAAGGTGTTAGTGAGCAGGCACAGGGTTAGGCTTGGTGGGTTCTGTCATTCATTTCCTTCCAGCTCTTTCCTGGGTACAGGTTTGCTTAAACCTCATCTGGGATTTAACTGAACACATCCCTTGTCTTTGGGGGAGAGCAATTGCTTGTGAAATGGTTTTCAGTAGTATATTGGAGACTTGGGGCTCCTGCCTCATCCTCCTCAGTTTGTTGCTCTTGGCTCTGTGAGTCTATGGGCTGCTTACAGCGGTCCTCTAGGCAAGCAGAGTTGATTGCCCTGCTCAGTCACACAGCCAAGAGTTCATGGCTTGCCTTGGTGCTTCTATGGGAGAACGAGAGCTCAGCTTCTTCCTTTCATATCATGTCACGCCATGTTCCTATGTCCCCAGAGATTCCTGTCACAGCCCCACTCACCTACTCTGACCTCCAGCTGCTTCTCTTCCCACTCCCTTGTCTGTTCTTCTCTGGTTCCATGGGCCCTCTTGTGCTTCTCCAAGCCCACTGAGAGCATTGCTGCCTTGGGGCCTTTGCACTCTCTGCTCCAGCTGCCTGCCTGGATGCCTTTTCTAGGAGCTATCTTTCTTTCCATTGCTCTTCCTGTC